CATGCTGCCCCTCACCTTTCAATCAACCAATCAGTAAACATTTGTCAAGCAGCTATTATGGACCAGGCACTATGCCAAACACTAGGCATATAAAAAGAAGCAAAAGACAGTTCCTACCCTCAGGGAGCTCACAATCTAAAAGGGGAGACAACAAGCAAACAAATATATACAAAGCAAGCTACATAGAGAAAAAATAGGAAATAACTAAGAGGGAAGGCACTGGAATTAAGTGGGGTTAGGAAAGGCTTCCTGTGAAAGTGGGATTTTAGTAAGGAATTCAGTAGGTGGAGAAGAGGAGGAAGAACATTACACACATATGGGACAGCCAAAAAAATGCCCAGAGCCAAGAGGTGGAGTGCCTTGATTCTGGAACAGCTAGGAGGCCAGTGTCACTGGATAGAAAAGTTTAAGTCTGGGAGTAAGGTGTAATAAGACTAGAAAGGTAGGAATGGGCTAGGTTATGAAAGGCTTTCAATGTCAAGCAAGGCATTATATATTTGATCCTGGGGGCAATATGGAGCCAATGAGTTTACTGAGTAGAGGGATAGGGGATGTGTGTGACATGACTGGACCTGTACTTCCAGAAAATAATTTCAGTGGCTAAATGGAGTGGGGAGAAACTTGAAGAATGTACACCCACCAGCAGGCTACTGCAATAGTCTCATTGTAGTGAAGTGTAGAGGGCTTGCACCAGTGGTAGGTGTTAGAGGAGAGAAGGGGGCCTATTTGAAAGATACTGCAAAGATGAAATCAACAGGCCTTGGCAACCTTTCCCCCAACAAGCTGTGGAAATAAGTAGCAGACGTCAACTCTGTCCAGTCAATTGTGGAACAGGGAGAGGGACAAAAGGAGAATAAAGATACTAGGGGAGAGACAAAGAGCAAGGGGACCATGGAAGAACATGCTTCCTTTCTACCTGGGGAGATGCCCTAGCTTGGGAACCCAAAGGCCTGGATGGCTCACGCAAAACTTCCCCCAAGCCTGTAAAAAGTGGCAAATGCTGACTCAACCCCTTCACAGAACTAAAGAATAGAGAAAACCACAGAAGAGAGCCTGGGCGAGGCGCTGTAACAGGCCTGATAGAAAGGGACCAATGATCCAGCTGGAGCCAGTCCTGTTTCCACCGAAATTACTCGGGGCAGGGACCGACGCTGGTGAAAAATGAATTAATTAATCAACATGAGAGGCTATGACAGCGTTGAAGTTCATCCCAAAGGGAAATCCACCATCAAAGGAGGAGTCAGAAAGTGAACAAAAAGGATTTACAAGGAAAAGAAAAAACTAAAATCACTTAAAAAGAAAGAAAAATCAGTCAAAAACCTAGAATATAAGCACATAAATCAACCAGGAAGATAACTGAAATTAGAAGAGGACTTCCAAGGCATATAAAAGACTGCAAATGTCTCTACACAAATAATGTAAGACAAAGGAAGTTGAACCAACACCTGATGAATTACAACACTCTGTGGATTCCCAAGAAAGCATGGAACTACAGAATGTTCCACAATGGGTCAAGAAAAAAATCAGAATCTTGAGAAACATTAGATGAGAACAAATGGCAGAATTTATGGCCTGTACAACAAAAATAATTAGCAGAATCAGCAAGTCTCTCCAAAGATGTGAAAGGGAAAAAAACAAATTGGGAATATAAATATACTGAAGTGAAGGTATGGACCTCTATGAAGAAAGGCAAAAAGCAATGTTAAAAGAACCCATTATCTCAATATAGTCTTCACGTATTTGGTTTTTCCTGGGTGGACGAACAGGACAAACTGCTTTGAATGACAGGTTTCTTCTAGGAGGCTTGGCAATGTCTTGGGGCCTACTGTAATCAATCTGATCAATCACTTCATTTATAAACAGAACCTCAGGATTCACAAAGAATCTCTTCCTAACCTGGACTCTGTGTTGGATCTCCACCATCACAGTAGTGAACACCTCTGGTGAGTATACTTAGTTATCTGAGAGGCAATGATCATGGATATTTTTGATATATTTTGTTAAAAATTCCAAGGAATCTTGAAGGATGATGATTATGTAGACAAGAAATATTCTGTTGAGAAGGTTGTGAGGTAGCATTTTGTTCTTCTGAGTTAAATGTACAATTAAGATTACATACACAAAATACATATAATATATAATACACATTATATTATATGTGTCATATATTATACATAATATAGTTATATAATTGAATGTACAATTAAGATTGCTATATGCATAATACACATTACATATTAAATATTATATGATGTTGATAATATACAAGACTATATATCACATGTATTATATATATATATAAAATCTTTATTGTACATTGTCTTTTTTCTCATTATGATTCTTTCTTCTTTATTATAAATCTCATCTTAGCTCTGATGATTGATGGCCCAATTATAGACAGACAAGTGATTCAGAGACCACTCTCATATATATATATATATATATATATATATAATATATATATATATAGATAGATATAGATATATATAGATAGATAGATAGATAGATAGATAGATAGATAGATAGATAGATAGATATATGTGAGTGTGTGTGTGTGTGTGTCTTTTCCTGTTTGTTAAAATGTAGATACTTTAATTCCTTGTGATGCTGTTTGGTTATCACCATGTTGATTATCTGCCAATTCTTTTTTCAAGAAAGTATTCATGCTATTAGAGGCATGAGGCTTCTATGCAATTTACAAGTCTTTTTTACTCTGTATTCGGTACTACATTTTCCCATAGATTTCCCCTCATCCTTATCTCTTCCCACTTTTACACTGAAGTCACCAAAAATCAGAGTGTATACTGACTGACATTGAGGGTATGATCATGTTCTTCATAGAATTTGCTACCATTCTGTCATCAGTTATTGATGTTCATGTGTAAGCTATAAATATGTTGTCTTTTTGTAAATACTTATACATAACAACCGCATTTCCCATGTAGTAATTATTTCTTATGGCTTTGGGGCAGAGAAAACCCACTATATTACCTGCTTTCTTTGCATGCTGAGGCCATTTGTTAATTTTTCCATGTTTCATAGGTTGCTATGGCCAAAAAAGTTTTGTGATAGCAGGGGTGGTTGGCCTACTGTTGTGGTGTGACTCTTTGTGAAAACAGAGTAGGCCTGTTCCTGGGACCATGCTAGAACCTGACAGAACATGTGCTCTGCTAGAACAGCCTTCTAGAGTCCAAAATCCCCTCCATACCAAGATAAAATAGTACGGAAGAATTTTCATGAAGGAAGTTTAGTATTAGTGTCAGGCAAAAGAGTTTCACCATTTTCCTACTGGCCAACCTTACTTCAATGATTCAACATATGGACCAGAATGCGCATGCATTCACTACGTAAAACTTTCAGTCCTACTGAGATTTCAGTCCTCTTAATCCTAAACATTTCTGCATCTTGGGCTGAATCCAAAGGATCAATTTTTAACTTTGTTTTTGCCCAGAGTGTCAACAGAAGCCAAATATTACAAAGTCATGGCCTTTGTATAGCTTTGAAAAAGCATCATAAATGGAGTGTCAAAAATGAGAAAAGCATGGCCTTGTATAGAATTATCAAAATGTCTTCTGAAAATGAAGTAATTTTGGAGTAAATTCATATCCATATCTATTAGAACAAATTTCAGAGATGGTAAGGGATATTGCTCCCCACTGCATCAACAAACAGTACAAGGGATAAAAATGTTGAATTTAAGGGGTTTTAAATGGCACAATATGTTAAAAATACAGGGGAAAATGAATTATTTCAACTGCTATTGATAAATAAAATGACTAATATTGATTGTGAAATTTTCCAAGAAGTTAAGTCTTCTACTAGAAGAAAGAGGCTTCAGACTTTAATTCACTAATTTTTGGAGAAGGGCAATGGTACTACACTATGTAAAATCTCATGCAACTATACATTATTCATTCTAATTTTATGAAGTGCCAAAAAGTCAAACAAGCCAAGCTGACATTTAGTACTTTTTAAAAAAACATGACCTTCCTGGGTATACCTCTAAAGCAGAATAAAATGATCAATTACCAAGTGCTTATGATTTGCTAGGAACCATGCAAAGCACCGTGGATACTTGAAAAAACAAAACAAAACAAAACAGAAAACCGTCCCTGCTTTGGGTACCTTCCAAAGGGAAACAACTGCCTATATCCAGGCGTATACGTGATACCTATAAAGTAGACATAAGGTGCCCTTAGAGGGAAAGGCACCAGGAGCTGGGAAGAACAGGAAACGCCTGTAGCAGAAGATGGTATTTGACTTGTATTTTGAAGTCAGGACCTCTAAGAGACAGAGGAGAGGAGGGAGGCAATATTCCCAGCCTGGGGACAGGGAGTAAAAAAGCACAGAGACAGGAGATGGAACACTGTGTGTGAGGAACAGGAAGGAGGTCAATATGGCTGGACTGTAGCCCCAATTACAACCAGGTATCATTAAGAAAAGGTTAGATTTGTTCAGGATGTTCTTTGTTAAATTAGAGACATACAGAACATGTTTTAGAAAGATTTCCATCAAAAATGGTTAGTTTGAGCTTTCTGAAACCATTTCCTAGAGCACCAAATTCTAGATCATGCTAGACAAAAGATATTTCTATAACTGTGTTTGAAAAAGGCCCTTCCCTTATGCTACTGTTTTCAATGGAATTGTTTGTTAACCGGTTATTTCTTCTAACTCCCCTTGTGAATCCATAGTTTTGAAAGTAGTAGAAAACTTAAGTAAAGGAAAGGCAAAAGGGATGTGAAGAGCAATTTGTTATTATGCAATCTGGAACACAAAGCATTTTAAAAAATCACTAAGTCTCGATACAAAAGAAACATCAACTATCAAGGAAAAACTAAGGAAAGCCCAAAATCTTAATTTCCATTCCTACCCAGGATTCTAAATATTTATAGCAATCATATATATTATAGCAATATTACATAACAGTAAATACAGTAGCATTTAAGACATGATTCTGAAAGCATGATTCTTGTTTCTAATATAAAAGAGAAAAAACTTGCCTTTTTGTCTTCAGGGTTTAGCTGGTTCATCAACATATTAACATTGTCAGTATTCCAAACCCAAGAATTACTTGTGAAGTATTCTAGAAACATCATAGCTTTGTGCAGACGAGTTATTGTTTTCATCATCCTATATTTGAAGAAAGATTACAAATTGATACCATGTATGGATCATGAAAGTCCTACCACTGTCCAAATATATGTGGCATCTTCCCCCCTACATATACACAAATATTAAGATTTGGTGCATAATTCACTTAGTGTAGGAAATAAGAATATTTCTGCATCTTGGATTGAATCCAAAAAGGAAAGAGGAAATCTGAAGCAGCTAGCAAGAAATAAGGTGCAGCATCAATATTGGGGTTATATAAAATAAATGAGCTTCAAAGGCAATCTGATGTCAAACTTACTGTAAAAATGGAAACAATAAATTAACAAAACTAACAATGTCTTGCTTTTAAACTGCTATCTAGCTCAGCTGCATCCTCTTAAGATTTTATGTGAAATCAAAACACCAACAATAGTTCTTGATAACCATGATATTTGCAACAATCCAAGCTATCTGATTGGGAAAAAATATGCAGAAATATTCATTTGCCACTGGAAATATTCATTTGCCACTGAAATCAAATCATACTGAGCACAATGATCCTTCCAAAACAGATTTGAACCATTTTTGATCTCTTAAATGTGCCATGATATACGACCCTTTATGTATAACTTTCTGAACCAGAAAAGCAGGAAATAAAAAATCACAATTTCTCCCACATTTTATCCTTCTGTAAATGAGTTCAATAACTACCTAAGCCCCAAAGAACTGGATCATCAAATCTAGTTCCCTCTTTTTTGACAAATATTAATTTTCTCACTAACTCCTCCCTAATCTCAGTTACAATATACTACAAACCATAAATATACAATCCTTATTACATTCTATCTATAATAAACTGAAGAATGAATTACATTTTAAAAATACTTCAAATGAGAAGAAAAGGGAAAAAGCTCTCCCTCGGCAGGTCTTGGCATGAGGATTTTTAGGAAAATACAAAAAAATGAATTTCATCTGAAAAAAAAGTATTCATAATACTGCCACTGTCGTAAATTAAAATGGAAATAACTTCAAAACAGAAATGCTATATGAAAAAGGAGGTTCCCAAAATACAATCAGTATCTTTAAAAAAAAAAACAGTCCTAGAAACAGAACTTGAAACACAGAAACTCATTCAGTATGAGTTCTAAAAATTAAAATCATCATGTTTCATCAGGAGAAATATATCTTCCATTTACGCACTGTTTCATACATTTTTAAATTCCTCTATTTTTCCATTTAGGACCAGAAAAAAATAAAGAAAAACTTGTTCCATTTAGGGCATTTAGAATATTTTCTTCTGAAGCAACCCCATGATATTAGAAAGAAAAAAGGCTGGAGAACAGATTATCAAAATTGAAAAAGGTTATTCCAGATGCCCAATACCATCACAATATGAAAACTAAAATTTTGAAAACCATCCAAAATTATATTTACCCAATAAACATCATAAAAAAAGAACTGAAGACTTTCTAAACAGTTTCAAATATTTTGAAATTTTTATCAACATTCCATATACTCTTGGTAAATGACATTAAATATAGTCATCTCTTCTTAATAATTTAAAAAGTTTACACAGAAACCATTACTTTATCCATTCAACAAGTATTTACTGAGAACCTATTATGTACAGGTTCTGTGGGGGGATACCAAAATGCTCAAGATGGAATAAACACCTCTGAAAAGGAGACAGTAGGCATCTTGCATACTGATCCATCTCTAACACTCAGTCTTTCTTTGACACAGTTCTTTTTTTTTTTTTTAATGCACCATGACTAAGGTACCAAGACCCTTCAATAGCCTCAGACAACGAGGATATGGTATAACTGGAAGAAAGATCTTGAGCTTCTTGTGGTTGAATGAGGATGACTGAATGTGAACATCTATCTATCCTACCTGCCTTAGGTTAAACACCTGAGATAAAGAGGGTTTTTTGTTTTGGTTTGTTTTCTGACAATACACAAGACTATTTTAGTGTTCAATAATGATCATGTGACAGATCTGGCCCTCATGTTACAAAGCAGCAATGGAAGGATCAAGACCCAGGTTTGGATAAGAAAAGAATATTCAAAGGCTGAATCAAGTTAGGATCACTTAAAAATATTTTCAAAGTATGACTAGTTAAGTTTGTGAAAAGGTGCTATATTAAGTTTGTGAAAAGCTGTATAGGTACCTGTCCTAGGTAAAACTGATTAACAAAATCTGAACACAGAGAACTAAGAAAGAAAAAATGTCATAGACCATGTGCCTGGAGTTACATTTTATACAACTATGACAAGTACTCAACTGATGTAGAAGTAGCACGGATTTGTACAGTGACCTCTTTAGTTCAGGTTGTGGCATGAGCAGAAGAGAGAGCTGTGACTTGATATGGGGTTAGTATCCAACACAACCACACCTACCACATTATACCATTATACCACAACACTCCCCTCCTTCACCTCCTAATGCCACTGTGCAAACTCCCAAACTTCAAATGTCTGAACCAGGCATTATCCTCTCAGAGTAGTTATAACCTAGCCTAGACCTCAGCATCCACGACAGCTGCACAGGTACCATTGGGAACATTCTCCAATCCTAGTATATGCACAAGAAAAAATCTGGAAACTGGTGGGAGAGTGGATAGGGTAGATGCCTTAAGAGACAAGAAGACCTGGGATCAATTTCCATCTCTTACATGTACTAGCTGTGTGACCCTGAGCAAGTCATTTAACTTTCTTAAGACTTTTGCGTTGCTGTTATGTACTGGTAGAAAGAGTTCCCTTACTGGAAGCTACCTACAGCAAGGAAGTTACAAAACCAGAACTATAGCACAATAATGCTATTTAGCTTATAAAATAGTGTAATGATTAGAAATTTGAACTTTTTCTTCATTCATTTATACTTCAAGTAAGTGTCCTTAAGACAAATCTTCCCAATACAGACACTCTCTACTATTCCTCAATATAGCTAATCCTTACAAGGGTACCCCGATCCCATCCATTCCTATCTCCTCTAAAAGCTTGCTTCAGTAATCAATAAGAGAAGTATAACCACTGTCTACTTCCTCAACACCTCCTCCTTAACCTCTTCAAATATGATTTCTATTCCTACCACTCTACTGAAACTGACTTTCAAAGGTCACCCCACCAGTGACTTCATCACCAAATCCAATGGCTTTTGTTCACTTTTTATCTGGTTCTATGTATGCCATTTTCCTTTCTTACTCATCTCATATAACTCTATGTCTTTCCCTATCTCTTCCTCCCACTCCTAATGAAGAAGTGGCCACCCTTCTACATGCACATGATCACCTTATATCTTGTCTTCTATTTGTTCCCATTCTTACTAATCCTCAATCTAGCGGCTGCTTCCTTGCTAGCTCCTAATAATCCTAACGTCTCCCCCATCCTCAAAGAACCTTCACTGGATTCATTCATCTCCACTAGTGCTGGGGAATTCCCTTGACCTCTTTCAAGAGGTCTACCTATCAGAGGAAATCTGCTGTCTACTGGTTAAAGATATGAAGCCAAATAGAAAGCAAACAGATTCATTAGCATGTTAAGGAAGACTGATATTCTTCTTATAGGAGCTTCAGCTTTCTAGGGTACAGACTTTCAAGACTATTTACAGAAGGGGTTGGGTACTTTCTACAATTAAGTCACCAGGTAGTTGGGAGATTGATCCAACAAGGTGTAAAATAACTGATTTCTATTTTTCCCCATGCTAGCTATCAGCCAGTCTCTTCTCCCATTAGTGGATAAACTCCTTCAGAAGGATATTTATAATCAGTGTCTCTACTTCCTTCTAGGCTCTGTCCTGGGCCCTCTAGTCTTCTCCCTCAATACTACTTTGTTTGGTGATTTCATCAGCAGCCATGGATTCAAATGTTCTCTCTAAGCAGACGATTCTCAGAGCTTTCATCTCACATTACTAGATGCCCAAATGTATCTTAAACTCAACATGTTCAAAACAGAACTTATCATGTTTCCCCCCAGCTCTCCTCTCTTCCTAAGTTCCCTATTACCATTGAGGGTACCAGCATCTTCCCAGTTACCCAGGATTACAACCTAGGGGTTATCCTTGACCCCTCACTCTCTCACCTCCCTCTCACATCCAATTAGTTGCCAAGTCCCATCAATTTTATCTCCACAACATCTCTAATACTACACCTCAACCGACCTCTCTTCTGACACTACAACTACCTTAATGTAGGCCCTCATCACCTCACACCTGGACTATTATAATGACTTCTGTTTCTTCTCCCTGCCTCAAGTTTTCCCCTACTCCAATCCATCTTACACTTAGCTACCAAAGTGATCTGAGTAGGTCACCTCCGCACCTTCCCTGATCCTATCCATTCAATAAATTCAAGTGGCTCATTGCCTCCAAGTCAAATATAAAATCCTCTGTTTGGCTTTTAAAGCCTGCATAATTTAGTTCCTTCCTACCTTCCCACTCTTTTTATACCTTACTTCCCCACTGCCCTCCACATGTATGCTGTGCTCCAGTGACACTGACCCCTTTGCGTTCCCTCTGATTTAATCTCCTGACTACATTTTCGACAGCAATCCTCCATGCCTAGAATTCTCTTCTCACCTCAATCTCTAAGCTTCCTTCAAGTTTCAGATAAAATCTTATCTTCTGCAAGAAGCCTTCCTGATTCCCTCTTAAAGCTAGTGTCTTTACTCTGAGAGTTGTCCTATACACGGCTTGTCTGTACTTTGTCATCTCCATTAGACTGTGAGTGTCTTGAGCACAGGGATTGTTCTTCTGATTTTTTTTGAAGCCCCATCACATGGCATGGTGAAGAGCAAATAGTAAGCATTTAATAAATGTCTGTGGATTTGACTTAAATTTCCAAAAGACAAGACTCTCACTATTCTCTTCCTACCTCTCTAATCACTTATTTTCCAGCTCTTCCCTCTCCTTGGGAGTCTTTTTCAAAATTTCTGTATTCAACACTCTCTTTATACTCTTCTCCCTTGGCACTGTTTCAATATCAACTATTACCTTTATGTAGGTAACTCCCAAATTTTTATTTTTTTATTATTTATCTTTTA